GAGAGCTAGATTTCGAGTCGGAGTTCAAGACTATGTCAGGGGAGCATGTACACAAAACAGCCAGGAAGCTAGACGTCTCCCGCCCAACCCCCACATGCAAATATCAGTGAATCTAAGGAAAAGCACCTCTTTTGGCTTCAAATATTTAACTGTGCGTTTTCGTAAAGCGATCAACGAAGATGGTTCATATTACTATGCTAAACACAGCGTACCTACAGAACCGGTTCGGACCTCTGTGCAGTCCAACACATCATGTAGACTTGCGAACGAGGTGATTTTTGATGGTTTATTGCACGTCAATGAAATGAGCACAAAGCGGCAAAAACGGTCGTGTACACTTACGTCGCGTAGTAGGGTGGCGACTAAATTCGTACCCTAGGATTTCTGATTTGATAGACGTGGGACAATCCTGAAATTGTAAGAAAATTGAACTAGAACTAGAACTTCTCGAAAAAAGAGGCTGTCAATAATCATTCGGTTCGCTGCCAAGTTGCGCTAGAATGTGAACTGAGGTAAGTATCCGAGCTCCCTATCATCCTACTTGCGTGAAGTGGAGAAGGGAGAGGGTACTCCGTGTCTAAATCAAAAGTAGGATGTGCACGAAACTACGTTGCGCGACTGTGCCAGAAGACACCATTTTTTGTTCTTGAGCTATTCAAAAGTTTGGTATATGCTGCTCGAAGGGGATTCGCCCGGGGTCAACAGTCCACTGTTCCGCTTTCGAAAATTTTATAACCCCTCCCCTTTAGAGGGGTCTCGATACCCCTTCATCACCACACCCAGCCTTAGAGGAGTCCTCCTTCCTCATCCCATACGACCACCTTAACAACCATTACTATGTTCAAAGTATTTATATTCTGATACCAGTCGACGCAACTTAACCCCGCCCTTTTTTTCTTAAAAATACTGCCATGCGGGGTAAATTTCGTCTAGTGAAGCAGCAAATTCTCTAAAACTGACCACTTTATGCTTACTTTCAAATTCTCCAAAATTGTGATAAACCCCCTCCCACCGCCATAATCCATCCTGTTTCAAAAAATACGACCCTTTTTGCAATCTTTTAACCTTCTTCCCCTAATACGACTCCCCCTCTCTGAATAGACTCGAACATGATCCTCTTGTCTGCGCAATGCACGGTTGACCCTGACGCCCACATGCGGACATTGAGGAACAGGGTCCCAGTAGCGAAGAGCTCATGTGAAGCTTGTAAACCACAGTATAGTTGTTTTCTATTTTGTCAGGAGAACTCACACGAAAGCAGAAAATAGAGCCGCTAGGACGATGCGGACAAAATGCCGTGAATTGTGTGCCAGGAACCCGTCAAGATGTGGCTGGCTGTGCCAAAACGCAATCTGCACTTTCGGCATATACCTGGCTGATTACATGGCCTTAGCGACTTATGCATTAGTGTGCAGCTGCCCAAAAGTGTCCCAAAAGCTTGTATACGTTTCAGGTCATTCAAGTTGCTATACGACCTCTTTATTACCCTCACTGAACAGATTACCACCCTGATGGTAAACATGATTTCCATACGAGCGCAAGAAACGGATGCATCGCAGCGACAGCGTATTTAAAACTGCTCCAGACATCTTCATCTTGTAACAAAGGGCAGTGGGCTTGGGGGGGGGGAGATGAGACGTCAAGGCGTGCGAGATCAACTTTGGTTTTCCCCGGAGTTTCTGTTCAAGATTTGGCCTCAAGGGATGCTCCGGAACCCTGCGATACGATTTTTACGTTTTGTAGCTGCGATTTATTGGCTTCAAGTTATGGTTATCAGTGATGCCGATTTCAGGAATTTTCGGTCTTATTTCAAACGAGCTGATGTTCAGTGAAAAGGTCGTTGAGGAGCGGCCGCCTAATCGAACTTTCTACTACAGTCTCCTATTTCGTGATGTCAAATCGTGAGTTGTGATTGTGTACAGATCCCAAGCATGGGCCAGTTATCAAATCCCGTGGGTCGTGCGTCGTCTGGGTCAACCAAGCCTTCCATCCCTCCTGGTCAGTTAATTGCTACCAAACTTGTCTGATCATGAGAGGATAAAAAACGGGCTTCCATGACGCCCGGACCCCGCGAAGCCTTTTCACTGCTCAGAATGCCATTACGTTTTGAATGGGGCTAGAAAGTGTGGCGCGTCCCGAAAAGGAGGTGGTTCACACCGTCGGTTGCCGTTTTGTTCTTTGTCTCTACCGTCGTCAATATGACAACAATGCCTAATTTCAGCCTCAACTTCACTTCTCCAAGAATACACAACGAGTCGCAGGTCATAGTGATTGTGTGTACGAAACCGGGTGATATCAGTATTCGCAATGTTATTCGTCAAACCTGGGCGAACGCGCTTTTTTCCGAAGCTGTTCATGTGAGTGCTTTGCCTACAGTAATAATCTCATATGAGAGCGCAAATCTCCGTTCTAAAAAACGCTTTCATCGGGGAATTCTTTCCCTTCTTAAGGAATAACGAATTCGAACTTCTTTCTGTTATGTGCGAAGTGAATGTGTTGGTTTTCAGAATAAATCTGTATCGGTCATATTCCTCATAGGCACCGGCTATGTTTCTCTCTCAGTTAGGGAAGAGATGCGAAAATACAACGACATCTTGCAAGTTGATGTACCCGATTCATATGGCAATCTTGTCTACAAGGTATCACTATCCCTCATTTTTTGTTTACGTTTTCTGTTTCTTTTTTCTTTTCTTGAACACTTTCACCTTCGCGGTGTAAAATCTGCTTTTTTTTCTGGGATTCTTATTCCTGAGGAATATTTCCGTCACTTCCATCATCTTCTTTATCTGCAAATGCCGGACCAATTACGGTAACCAATTACGGTATGGGCGTGACAAAGGCTACGATGCTCCCGACGCACATGAGCTGGGTGGAGCTTCACACAATTTGGGAAAGTGACGATTTCACAGCTAAAATTTCTCTACTTGATTCCAAAACAGCCTACAGACCGAGAAAATGAGCAAAAGGTGAACAGCTGGTTGAAGGCAGCGATTACGATAGTTTAAGAAGGTTTGAGGAGACGTGGTGGTGCTCAATGGTACGCCAGTGGCGAAAAAAGCGGAGAAATCCGTCAAAAACGCAAAACGGGACCCCTTTTTTGGCCGTTGGTTTTCACTCATGAACAGGTAACAGCTCAGAAAGTGGACGTATGAACGAGTTCACCGCAACGCGTTTGATGGCACCATGCCAAATCACGCTTCAATCGAGATGCTCCATTTGCGCCGCTGCTGGCAACGCAGCTCGTCCAAATCAACAAGTAAACTAGTGGGCGGATCGCTTTTGGGGGCGGAGTGCTTTCGAAGTCCTGCTCAGCAACCAGCGCACCTTTCGTCGTGAAAGCCACACCTCGCTTCCTTGGCAGCCAAGTAACTGCTTCGTGTGGTATGCTTCCCCGATGCGCTCTTTATCGTAATCGCTGCCTTTAAGGAATGATATGACCACCCGCATTGATTGGGGCGTTCTCTAAATGGACGGCGTTCATCACTGAAATTAATATCTCGGTTCCGTGGCACCGTGAAGGTACCAGAAATTTTGGCAGGGATGGTCTAAGGAATGCTGAGTTGTCTGAAATGAGTGGAGACTCACATCTTGAACAGATGTGTGTATGATACCCACCTATGGTACCTGCTACAAAAATTCACAGGTCTTAGAAACCTGGAAAAGTGCACTGATTCTACGGGGCGGTGGAAGTTTACAGCAGTGCCAAAAAGGAGGCTTCTCCCCTATCCTGAAAACGGCATTGATCGCACTTTCTAAATTCAGACCTAATGCTCCTTTAGCGGAAAACTGAAAGCACATTCCATTATCAACTGATGTCATAATAGCTTTCTACACCGACGACATCAGAGGAATTTGCCATGGGAACTTTGTTCGAGCTCAGAGAGGTCCTCGACGGATAGTGGACCAT